GTATTTACCTGTTCGCCAAGCCTGTTCTTAACCCTGTCACCAGAGTCCGGGCCCTGAAATGCCCTGCTTCCCCCTCAGGCCTCACCCCCAGACCCCAGATTGGCACTGTCTCCATGACTGCTCAACCAATCCCGGGTGTTTTTAGGACTCCCCCGACTAAGTGTGTGATTACCCACCAATGCTCTGAAGACTGTTCCCGGGGGCAGGGTGGGAGGGAGAGGGAGAACTGTGGAGGGCGGAGGAAGGAAAGGTGGCCATCTGGCAAGAGGGGTGATGTGGTACCATTGGCTGGTGCCAGCCTGGTGGTCCCTGAGGTCAGGTTTAGTGACCTTTCCTTAAGGTGATGCATTTTCCATGTGGACGTGTTTTAGGAACGTGATTTGGAAAAGACCACAGTCAGAATTCAGCACCCATGTGGACGGGTCGTGTGTTGGCAACAGCTTCCTGTGGCTCAGTGGCTTAGACCCTGTCAAGTCTTCCCACTCCCCAGGTCTTCTCTTTCAGGGTCTTGCCTCACTGACTCCAGACATGGTCAGAGTCAGGCCTTTCTCAGGCCACCTCCAGGAGTCTGACTTCTAGAGCCCTAAGCACAAGGCTGGCAGCCCTTGGGGGCGCTCCTGGCAGTGTTGGCCCAAGAGGCTTTGCAGAGTAAGCCGAAGCCAGGGCTGACTCTTGCTGTCACCTAGGAATGCTTGCAGATGGGGGGATTAAGACAAAGTTGTTTTTACATTGGGTAGGGACTTTTTTCCACTGTTTCTTTGTAGGAAACATTCTCCTTTGTCAGAATGGACATCTAAAACAATCTTAAGTTGTTACGTGTCTTCTATTTAAGGCAGCCAGCAGACTCCCTCTTGGTTCTGGGCCTGCTGATTTTGAGGTGCCTGTGGATGCCAAGAAGGTGTGGCCGGGAGGTACTGAATATCCTGGTCTGGAGCTCAGGAGAGAAACTTGGGCTGGACGTAAACATGCGGTTGACATCATGGGAGTATATGTGATCTTCAGGGAGGAAGATGGACATAAAGAATATAGGAGAAGACCCTGGACAGATTTAGGTGAGGGTGGGAGATGTGTGTCAGAAGAGAAAAAGGCAACTGGGAAGTGAGACTGAGAATGGTGAGCCTGAAAGGTGAGTTGAGAGCACGGTGCTGAAGGGCAAGGACAGAGAGCAAAAAATATGGCGGGACATTGCCTAGCCGGAAGTCGTGGCTGGTAGAGAGAAGAGCGGTTTCAGTGGAGCAGGGGCGGAGAAGGAGGGGGGAGAGGGAAGTGGGTTGAAACACTGAGTAACAACCCTTTCAAGAAAGTGACCTGTAAGGAGAAGAAAGAGGGTGAGCAGAAGCTGGAGGAAACGGGAGGCCTAGGAGAGGTGTCTTGGTTGTCCCTATTCTTGTTAGTCTTCCTGTCATCACCATTGTTATTATTGGTGGGAGATGCTGGCAGGAAGAAGACACTGGGGAGGAAAGTGGGGGGCGAGAGGGCGTCAGAGCAAGGCCTCCGAGCAGGTGCAGGGGAAGGGTCCGGAGTCGGGAGAGGAGGGTCCTGAAGACCAAGTAGCCTCTCTCCCATTGAGGCCGGAGCAAGGAAGAGGTTGCAGGTGAGTTCGGACATTTGGTAGCAGAGCGTTTTCTTCTCGCAGCTTCTGTTTTCGGCCCGACAAACCCAGGGAACCTCCACTCAGGGAAAGTCAGGGACAGAGGAGAGGCCGCAGAGTTGCTGGCAAAGACTGTACAGGCCCTCCCTCTCCTCTCACATCAGTTGACCTCAGTTGAGAACTCAGAGCCAAGGATAGCCTGGGCAGGATTAGGGCCCCAGCGCCCTTGGGAAGGGGCGTGAGGCAGCCCACGGGCGGCTGAGCAGCTCCCTGGGGATGCAGGATTACAGGGCTATGGCCTCAGCCCAGACCTTGTCTCCCTTCTAGAACTAGCCCTGCCTTCTCTGCTCAATTTTAACTTAATTGCACCCAAATAAATCAGTTCCATAGCATGGGCCTTTTTAGGCATTAGTGACTCGAAGAGTTTTGTTCTATTACTTCACATTTTCCAAACCCACTTCGCACAGATGGAATCTTTTGTAATCCTATAAGGCCAAGCACAGAAGAGGACCAGTGCCAAGGAGGTTGGGCCTAGGACTTGTTTTAGCGAAGATAGAATGGTCTTACTCCTTTTGACAATCTTGATAAATCTGCACCAAATTTGGGAAGTTTCAACACTGAGGAACTCACAAACTCCACTCATTCAGCAAATGCTGCTTGGCATCTGCTGTGAGCCAGGCCTGGGCCCTGCATGTCACCTTCTTTTTCAGGGTTTACCCCTTTAGTTCTCCGCCACGATTCTGTGGAGTTAATTTCAGCATCCCTGTGTCATCAGTGATGACACCGCTCCCAACAGGTTAACTTGCCTGGGGGCTGCCAGGGAGTCAGCGGCAGGGCTGAGACTCAGAGCACCGTCTTTTGGCCCCTTAGATTTTATCAAGAAATGTCACAAACATAATGTTTTCTGTTGAGGTAATGATTTCAAATGTTACATGTTGTCTAGTACAAAAGGTTCCTTACGGAATTGCCAAAACCCCAAACTGCACAAACAGTTTTTTAATCAGGATCCTAGAAATGTCCAAATCAAATATATTCAGGGCAGATGAATTAAGTACCTGCTTTGGTTCCTGCCTACATGATATCAGCAAAATGAAATAGACATAACAATAGATTTTATCAATAATGTAAGACAGCAATGAGAGTGTGGTGTGGGAGAAAGAGGAGGGCGTTTGGAGTCGGAGCTGAGCTCGACAGCAGTGAGACTGCAGTGGGAAGGGGGCAGATACCTCTCTCGGGGACCTGTGATGTGCCAGGTGCTCTGCATGTTTTAATCTCACTTAATCATTATAATGAGCTTCACAGATAAATATAATATCATATCCATTTTAAGGTAAGAAAATTGAGGTTCCCAGAAGATAAGCATCACACAGCTGGTGATCTGGGTCTGTCAGGTCCATACAACACTCTTTCAGGATGTCTTCCTAAGTTATTTACAACTTGGAAGTAAGATCATAGACTCTTAATCAAATCATACATATAAATAAAATTTACTGCATATTTAATTTAATTAAACATATACATGTAAACACGTTCATGTATACCTCAGTGTGTGCATGCACACACACATACATGCACGCATGCACACACACACACACTCACACATAAATAACTTGTTGTTTACTAAAGAATTCAGGAAGAAACAAAGAGAGCAACTGTCAGCCAGAAATTGGGCAACACACATGCCTTAGTCCTTGAATATCAGTTTTATGAATTTTCTTTTATATCTGATTATAACCCATAATTTTCCAGGACTGGCTTTAGGATCCCCAGGGGAGAAAGCCTCTTGTCCTCACAATTAAACTTTGAAAGGGCAATAATATACATTTGAAAAGTGATTAAAGTATATGGTCTAAGATTGAAGTATACCTTCTAAAGGTGGGGCTAGGTGGAGGATTAAGTGTAACTGAGGCAGGTCAAGGATGCATTTTCAGAGCAAGGTGAATCATAGTGAATGGAGGTAATTCTGTACCTCAAAGAGATTCATGTCTACTTTTGAAAAAAAGCAGAGTCAAAGTATTCATTCAAGAGGATGACTACTGAGCCCTTTTCCTCTTTGTCAGATGGACATGGTAAGAGCCACGTCCCAGTGCCTAGTTTAGCCCCTGGCATATGGGGGACTCTTGCTGAATACTAGCATTAGTTAGTATCTCTGTCACTGCTAGTTCCTAAGGTCTCAGCTGTGAGGGGGTGGGGGACCTGGCGGGGCCGGGGATGGCTGTGTTTTCCCTGTGGGTGACTGGGAGGACAGCAAGGCCATTTGCAGAAGTGAGGCAGCTGGGACAAGGAGCTGTATTTCCTAGCTTCTGGGTGGTTCCCAGGCATCCTCAAGTCAAGGACCTTCATCTTGTATCCCAAGTGCCTGTGTGTGGCTCACAGCTGGGTCCTGAGATGCATTTGACGTACATCCCTTTAGCACAGCTGTTCAGCCGACAAGTTTTGTCTTCGGCCATTCCTGATTCCCTCCCTGACTTCCTAATAAACCCTGATTGGCATCTCTTCCGATTGGTGGGCAGCTGACTCTCACCAAAGCTCTTACAAAATTTCAGTTGTGCGGCAAAAAAACGTTATTAATAATACTTGGGCCTGGTATGAATTAAAAGATCTTGTAACTTTGAGGTAGAGTCCTTCAGTTGGCCTCCTTGCCTCCACTCTCTGCCAGGGCTCCCCAAGCACAAGCTGAGAATGCTGGGCACTTGGACAGGCGCTTTTCCTTGGCCCTTTTATATGTCCCCAAGTAATCAGATTAAACTGTTCCTGTTATCTCCCTTGGACAGGAACCAGCCTTACTGATAGGTAAAATTTAGGTAATTTGATTATCCAAATGATAATGCTAGATCTGTTGGAAACAGACAGCGCCCCTGAAGATATTAAAGAGCACCTCTCCTTCTGTCCCTTGGGTTATGAGAGATGGAAGGGGCCGACTTCAGGCTTGGACCTGGGCTTTCCATGGCTCCTGGAATGGGGGATGTTACGTGGCCTATGTGGGCTGAGATTCTCCAGCCAGATTTAATTTTAAGTTTGCTGGGGTAGGTAAGTCCTGCTAGTTAAAATGTTATGTCCTCTCTCAGACAGTCTGTGTGAAGATGGGACTTCTGGTCCCACAGCAGAGTGGCAGCAGTGGGACTAAGAATATTTGGGCTCAGAAGTCCGAGGAAACGTGGCCAGGGTTGTGGGGACAGTGTCCCACTTTTCAGCCTAGCCTCTAGAGGTCCTGGTGCATCTCCGCCTGCAGACCCAGCTTCCTCTTCAGAGGAGGGGGAGAATCCTCTCCCACCCCAGTGAAGACACAAATGGCCAACCAAGGCTTTCAGCCCTGCCCCACCTCTGTGTCCACATTCCTGTTAGATGCCCCTGGTGTGTTTTGCATCCCGATTGGAATCACTGTTGAAATTGACTCTGTGCTTCCTAGGAACTAGCCAGCTGTGGATGGAGTAAGAAGGAGAAACATAGTCTCGCCCCCAACGTTGTGGCCTTTACCCGGAGGTTTAACCAGGTAAGTAACCCCCCTTGCATGTGCCTGTCCAGATAGCAATCTTTTGTCACCTGTAGGCTGGGAGCCCTGCTAGGGTTCAATCCCAAGGACCCAGCCCAGGTCCAGACCCCTCTTTTGAACCCCTACCTTCATCGGTTCTTGTGCCATCATAGTCCTTTTTCACACAGCAGTTGGAACTGAACACATCTTTCCTGTGTTTAAATTGCTTCAGTGGCTACCGATTCCACTTACGCTAACAGTCAAATACCCTAACTGCTCTGCAAGGTCCTGCATGATGATTCTGTCCTCCGCCTCCTCCACTAGCCTGGTCTCTTGTTCCTCCCCCTCCTCTGCAGGCTCCAGCGTTGCTGACCTTCCTTCTCCTTCCTGGTGCTCCTTACCTCTGTCTTTCAGGTCCCTATGTGTGCTCTCCTCTTAGCTCAGAATTCTTCCCCTCTGTTCCACTCCCATCTGACCTCAGCCTTCCTTGGGGAGCCTTCTGTGCGTCCCCAGCCTGTATAAGGTCTCCCCATCGGACGTTCCCAGGTTGTGTCCTGTACTTCTCTGTGTGTCCTCACTTTGTGTAACTCTTCAGGGTCCATCTTCTTTGCTAGTCTGTGGGCTCTTTGGGGGCAGGTCTCTCTTGTCCATCACTGCATTTCCCATCACCCTTCCCAATGTCAGGCGTATCATGAATGCTTAGTACGTGTATGTGGGATGAATGAATGCAGTGCTCAGAAAAGACTCCTGAATTGAATCTCTTTCCATTCCTGATGGCGTGGTCACCAGCCCCACATGTATTACTACAAACTGACTTGGTCCAACTAGAACTTTTACTCCAGGCATGAAGAACTTCATCCCCACTTACTGGAATGATGATGGGACTTAGACCAGCTGAGGGGAATGGGCTTCTGATTTCTCAGCCAGACCTGCCAGAACATGATCTTCAATAGAAAGCACGTTGCAAGACCCCCTTTGAATGGATCAAACCCCCAGATGGTGCTGTTTTCTTCTTTGTTCTTGTTTTTCTGTCTTCACATGAGGACAGTGGCCTAGAGGTTTGCATAGCATGTTATGACTGGACCTCTGGGTGATGAGTCTGGGGTCCCTTTGAGCCTTCCCTGCAGCTGGGCCTGACCTCTCAGAATGCTGGGTCCTGTGCATCACCATTGCTCAGCCCTCTCCAGGTTTTCTCAGCCTGGGCTACCACCCCAAGCATGTGGGAGTCTCCGAGAGGCACCAGCTTGTAGTCCGAAGCTGAAGGCTGGAGCTGGCATTATTGTTTTAGGAGTTATCATAGGAACTAAGAAAGGCATCTGCTGTAGGGGTAATACACTGTTTGTTTTGAAAAGAAGTTCTGAAGCCTTCTGTTTCTTTTCAAAATCTTTTTCTTTTCTACTGAGCCTAGTCTTAAAAAAAAAAAAAGAACAGATGTGGACATGCTATCAGGGGATTCATAGTTTCCTTAGCAAAACTATTTGACTGGGAGCCAGTGCAGTCCCACCTCTGACCAGCCACAGAGCTCCCGCAGGAGGGCTGGTGGAGGATCTGATCTAATCTGCTCTGCACGCGGAGGCCAGGTCAGCTTGGCAAAGGGCGGCGCAGCTTTTCTGTGAACAACTGCATTGTGTCCGGATCAGACCTAGTGGGCGAAGAGAGCCAGAAGTTAAAATGGTTTTCCGAAACAGAACACTCTGAGAAATGGTCTTCCTGCCTGCCTGTCAGCCACTCAGAGCAGTGGCTCCTGGGCGCAGCCCTAATAGCTCTGGTTTGAAAACTGGCCAGTGGCCAGGCCTGGTCAGCCACTGGGGCTGCTTTTTCTGAGACAAACTGATTGGCATCCCCTCCTAGGAGAGTTTCATATGTAAGAACAAGGCTCCTCAGCAGACTCCAGATAAAGGAAAGCAGTTCACTTACTCTTTTGATATGTAAATGAGAATAATAATAGTAGTCACTTTGTACAGCTGTTACGAAGATTATTATGAAGAATAGTAATCTCATGAAGTTGTTATGAAGAAGTCTAAATGAAATGATGTGTGAGCTGTTCTCAGCCCAGTACCTGACATGTAGTAAGCATCCAAACATTTTTGGGGAAAAAAAGGAATTTGGAAAGCAGCTGATTGGAAGGAGGTTGCCAGGAAATTTGAGGCTCCTTGTGGCCAAGCCAGAAGTCCAGTGACCAGTGTCCTGGTCCATCCCTTCAGACTTGTCTGCTTCTCCATGGGGACTGAGTCCCTTGGGATTTGTTCCTAAAGTGGCTCAGATGGAAGTGTCTGTTAGGGCCAGGCTTGTCTCTCAACCCCAAGGAGGCCACCATAGAGAACAGAAGTGCTCAACCTTTTTTGGGTCTGAATTCTTCTGAGAATCTGACAATATCATATATGAATCTGCTCCCGGATAAATGCACAGGTATGTAAATTTGCACTTAGTGTAATGGATCCACTGCCCGCCCCCTGAAGTTTGAGCGTGAACACTGAAGGGTCTGTGGATGACAGGCTAGGCTTTGTGGTCACAGGGAATCAAGCAGACCTGGGTTTGCATCTGAGCCCTACAGATTCTTAGCTGTCTGATCTCAGGGTGTCTTTCAGCCTTTCATCTTCTTTATTTATAAAATAGGGAGAATCATTTTAAGTGATTTTTGGAAGATTAAATGGGAATCATGGATGTAAAGGGTTTAGCTCAGCACTGACACATACTAAACAATTAATGCTGGCTTTAAAAAAGGTACCGAGTAGTGGGAGCTCTGAGCTGAAAGGAGGTTGGGCTTGGGACTAATGGTGGTAGGGTTGGGATTATGCCCTGAAGATGCTGAAGAATTAGGAAAAGATGAAGAGGGAATCAGGAGAATTTGGCCCTCGTCCAGACCCTGCCGCTAACTGCTTGGAGGCCTTGGCAAGCCCCTTCCTGTCTCTGGGTCTCAGGACTCATGTACTAACCGAGACTGGACAGGCCAGAGGTTCCCAGCGTTTTGTGCTGGAGACCTGCTTTCGGTTTTCTCATGGACTCGTGTATTAAGTTCCTAAGGCCTGGCACCTCAGTCCAACTTGCCTGAGCACAAAGGGAATTGAATGGCTTCTGGAACGAAGTCCAGGGAGAGGGTGGACTTCACATACTGCCGGGGGCTCAGACAGCACCAGCCCACCTGGGCGCTGCCCTCTGCCCCTCTCGGTTCTGCTTCCTGCTTCCCTCCGCACTGGCTCCCCTCTTGGGCAGCCTCCTCCTCTGCGGTTGTGAGGCAGCTGTCAGTGGCCCCTCTCACACCTGGTTCTCAGGGTGACCCCAGCAGGAAAGTCCTGCCTCTGTTTTCAGCATCTCTATCGTCTGATGTCCGGTTGCTCCAGCTGTGTCCCACTCTGGCCAGGAAGATGAGGGGCTCTGGTTGGCCAAGTCTCAGAAGTGGGCCTTGCTGTGGGGGGCTGAGGATGATGTCTGTACCAAATGGGCTGAGAATGGAGGAGAGATGGTACCTCAAGGAAAGTTGGGGTGCTCTGACAGCAAGAAACTGAGGGTGATGGACTGAACGGCAAACACAGGTTCCCACCCCAGACCCTCTTCTCTCTGGCACTCTTCCGTCTGCTCTGAGCTTCCTCTGCTCAGCTGTCTGCTGACAGCCCATCACCCTCCAGCCCTGCCTGCCTTCTGAGCTCCCAGGCATCATCAGCCTGATCACTGACTGTTCCCACGTCATCTTGGCTTTAGCTGAGACTATTTAAAGAACATTTAATGAGCATTTAGGCTCAACTTACTAAATCAGATATGCTAAGAATTTTACCTTCATTATCTAGTTTCACATGGTCCAGTGAGGTAGATACTCTAAACCCATTTTATGGATGAGGAAACCGAGACCCCAGGGAGTGGAGCAGCTGGCTCAAAGTCACAGCTGGTGAGTGTCCTCTTTTGGGGCTTCCCATTTTTTTCTGAACACTACCCCAGAAAAACCTCCTGTTCTTCCAGACCTCATCTGTCTCAGAGCAGGAGACAGTGCTAGCATTCTCCTCTCTTCCAGGTGCTCTGTCTCTCTCAGTTATTCTTCCCATGGTGTATAGACCCACTATCACTTGGGGGCTATTACTTCTGGGTGTATTTATTTATGTATTGAATAGGCATTTACTGGATGTGTAGCAGGCTCTGTGCTATCTTTAGGGGGTAGGTAGTAAACCAGGCACAGCTCTTGCCATTGTTAGCACATAGTCTAGTGCAGGAGACAGACAGGATGGGGTGCTTACAGTCCAGGGAATCAGCACCAGGACAGGGAAGCCAGAGGAGAGGCGTGGGCAGTAGGAAGGGGGGCCAGGAGACCAGACTGGGGTCGGTTCCATTAATCAGGTGAGAGAGAAGTGGTAAGAGATGTGAAGTGGCTGGACTCGCGAGAATGAGGGGACCAAATGACGCTGGTGGTTGGAGGTGGAGGGAAGAGTGAGGGAAGGCCCTCCTTAGGAACCTGGCAGCTCTCCTTTTTGAGGCAGTGAATCCAGAAGGAGGAGGGGTTGTGAGATAGGAGACAGTTAGGTTTTGGGCCTGCGGGCTTACCTCTGCAGCAGGTGGGCTCGCTGAGTCTGGAAGTCAGGGGAAGGGTCTGGCCTGGAGGTGCTGAAACTGGTTATCTGTGTTTGAAGCCCCAGGAGTCCTTGAGCTCATTCAGGCAGGAGGGGCCAAGTGAGAACCTGGCGATATAAGCGATGGGCAGATGAGAAAAAGCAGCTGGGGGTGGGGGAGGGAGAGCACCCGGAAAGGGCGGTGTCTGGACATCAGTGTCTCAGGGAAGAGGGAGCCTCCAGCACCGGCCCACGAAGGCCGGGCTGAACCACCCCTCACCCTCAGCAGCACGGGCGTGCCGGTGAGCCCAGCAAGGGCAGTTCTGCGCAGATGGGAGATGGAAGCTGGGCTGCAGCAGCCTGCACGGTGGGACCTGTGAGGAAGCGGAGAAAGCCGGGGACGCACACAACAGTGGCTCCCAAGGAGGGGGAAGAGAGGAGGGCGTGGCTGGAGGAGTCGAAGATGCCCCGGGAGGTGGTGGTCCT